GTTCAGTTCTCGTATAAAAACTCATTTAAAAACTACACCAAGTGTACTACTGTAGGCCTATTCCCAAGGAGGTACCGCAGTTAAATGAAAGGCAACTAAAATCGGTTCCTTTTAATGTATGAGGTAGATAAACATTATTTATTCCACGCTTGGATGAAGTAGAAATGAGGCTTACTGCTACCGAGAGTTCAAGACGGTGGTCACGTATGTAAAACTGAAATATGAAATTGGTTCAATTCCGGCAAGAACATAAGTTATTCACTCACGAGAGATTGGAGAATGCGTGGATTTATTACTTGAATTGTTTCAGATATCATTTTTGCAATGACAGGAAATTCGAACATCGGTGAACGTTCCAATTGCTTTTAGAATTGAGTCTGGCTCCACCCATTGCAGTGCAAGGATGTCAAATATTCCTATTTTTCATCAAAGTGAAGATTAGCTTCTTCCTCAAGCAAGGGTCAGTTTTCTAATTCTAATTTAAAGCATTTAATCATCCCATTACTACATTGTCCACATAACCAATAAAATTATATTTTTATTTTCTCGTCCGTCTGGATGTTTTTGCTAAACTGTTTACTAAGGAAACAACATTTTTTTTCCACACTCCTCTCACGAAAACAAGGTATAAAAAAAGTTTCATCTTAGTTTTTAAAGCTACATTTAATCTACGTTTTTCTTTTTCTGTAAACTGTATTAATCATCACCCCACTGTCGACATTGCATACAATCAACTATTTGTCAAGACAAACATCGCACCAAAATGCAACTAATCACAATACTCTGTATTTTGTTAACTTTTATTAGATACACACACCTGATGATAATTGGAAGATTTGAAAGAACAGTGTCAACATTTCAATTTGTAACCATCAACATTCCATCCATCCTCATAGACTTATGGGCTAACATTACTTCAGCTCATTTCAGTATTGATACCAAAGAAGCGGCATTGATTATATTAAATTAGTTAACAGGATTTTGATTTCTAATATTATTATTGAACACCGCAGAAAACGTGTAATGGTGGAAGAATGATCACTACAAAATATATACTGTATATGATTTCATATATGAACCTGATAACTTTGGCAACAAGTACCGATGCCACTGCTAGGGCAAAAACTGATGTGAAGTTTATAACAATTGTAAACGGTAATTACCTGTGTTATGACTATACAGTAGTAACAACAGGTATAGTTACATTAACTATGGTAAACCATCAATGTCATGATTAAAGTAACCATGGCAACAACCATTAGAGAATAGTGGCAACAAAAACATTTCATTTTAGAGTGTAATTATTGCATCTAATATGTTTTATTTTCTACATTGAGAAAAAAAAATATTTTGGTCTAATTAGTCCATAATCCGAAAGGTAATCTCAGATGAGATAGTACAGTATACAGTAATACATACTCCTAGTATCGAAATGCACGCATTCCTGATGATGACATAATTAATGTCATAATGATGACATAATTAATGTCATAATGATGACATGATGACATAATTATGTCATAATGATGACATGATGACATAATTAATGTCGAAATATTGAATCCCGACAATAGTCCATGTAATATTAGACAAAAAACAATGACCTATAATAGTTTAAGGTACCTGTGACTATTCTAAAGGCCAAATCACAGAAACAGAAATCATACAACTTGTTTAATAACCTGTTTGGATTTATAAAAAGCATTCTAATTAACAGTTGTTAAATTTTCCTAATAAGGCAACAAATCTCCAATTCTGTTCATTCATAACTGTATAAAATACAGACTTAAATGCCTTGACCTTTAATACAGACATGTGCAGTTAAAACTACAAGATGGCTTATTGTGAATGATTCATCAAAGTACCTTCAGACAAAGAGTATTCTAAGTATTCTCTATTAGCCTTAAGGTGGGTTAGGTTGCTTCAAGTGTTACTAATTTAACAACTCGCGCGACAAACACCAAATTAAAGTTCATTTGCAATAGGTACCATTTCACAGCAAAGATTTTTTGTATTATTTAGTGTTTTGTGTATGTATGATCTCTAACAACCACCAATTCCTTTTTCAATTTTTGTTATTAATTCTTAGTTGAGTTTGTTGTGATGCTGATCAATAAAAAAACATTGTTGCTGGTTGTAGTCACTTTCTTTTTGAAGCATGCCTCGAATTTTCCTTCCGTTTTCCATAAGAGGAGGATTTCCAGAAAGTCTGCTTTGGGTTAATTTGAATATGAAGCACATGTTTGAGAACCAGAGGGATTACAGGGACATGCAAGAGAAATGGTTTATGGAGAATCGGAGGTGACACAGTGATGCTGTCAGTAGTACTCAGGTGAGGAAACTGGTAAAGTTCCCCAAATTCCCATTTTAGACCAGCTTCTTCCCTGTTGTCACAGCAGCAAAACTCAAGGGGAACATGACAAGAGCAATCATGCCAGAACAGGTGTGTATACCCAATTTGAATGGAAATTCATTCAACATTTAAGCTGCAAGTTATGATTATATTTCGTTTCATTTGATAGCTTCATCGAATAGTTTCAATAACATGGAATTTTAAAACAAATGAAGGTACAGTAATTACTATTAGAAAGGTATTGAACAACACGGATGCTTTCTTTTATTCCTCCGATCAATATGGAAAACATTCCGCCAAATTTAACACATTCATGTAATGACCTAACAAAACTTGGAACATTTTTACAAACTATACATTGGTGTTTTGAGCATCTTGCAGTGAAATAAACTATTATCACCATCAAGGCCACCAGATGTAATCACTGTAACATGGGAAAGTCTAGCAAAAAACTGTTCAATCAATTTTATCAACTAAATTCACATCAGCAACTCCCATCCACTTCACCAAGATGCCCACCATATAATATCTGAAGATAAAAAAAAAAATAATCATAATTAGAATTTATAAAATCATAAACTGAACTCGTTATAGTTATGATTATTCCTTTATTTTTGCATCTGTTTTAAGTTCAGAAAAATTGTTATCTTGTAATGTATGATAAAAATGAATAAAAAACCAGGTTGAATACGATTGAGATAGAACATCTATATTAAACAGTTGTTGCAACTACCCAACCCAACTTATATCTTAACCAAGCATACAAAATACGAACGATGTAAAATAATGTAAATTCAGTCGAAAACAAAATAAGGAATGGTAAAATTTAAAAGGAAAAGAGGGATAAAATGTGCTTCCTGTTGACTTGAGTTGTTGAAAAACTGCAGAATTATCATTTCCAAAGTAATATTATGTTATCTGTGGAATAGCTCTGTATAATGTGCAACAATAGCCCATGGGAATGAAAAGACTGTCACCATGTTTCCAAATCCCAAGGGAGCATTGTCGCACTGACCGACTCTTTCCTAAAGCAGGGCGACATTAAACCCTCTTTACAAATACTGTCACTAACTAGGGTTGCTGACAGATTCTTGAGTCCAATTAAGTGCTCAAGGAGTGCTGCGTCTGCAGAGCAATCTGACTTAATAAAGCTGTGCCTCACAAATGATGCACTAAAGGTGCAGTTGACTTGTGCGAGAGTATGCACAATTCATTTGAAACAGTAATTCTTCACATTCACTGGTCATTTGACTGCCAGTGTAATTCAAAATCTATCATTTATTTACTTTGGTGGTGGTAGGTTAAAAATAAATTAGTGTTCTTGTTAATTGTGGGGGAAAAAGAATTAGTTTTGAGATTTTCCTAATCATTCCAATTTCTTTTTATATTGTTGAAATATGTCCCATTATAATATACTTGTTATCTGAATGTCCACACACTATTAAACTGTTGTATGCCCATATATAGTCATGATGTACCTATATATGGTCATAATGTGATGTCATGTCCATATTTCAGCATGTCACATGTTTTTGTAAAATAAAATTTGAGGAAATTGTTTAGAATATTCTTTTAGTACAGTAGAACCCCTCATTTACGTACGGGACGGGCCCAGAGGCGTTCGTAAAAATCATTTGTACGTAAAATCGGGGTTGTGTGAAATTCCTATGTATTTACACTACTGATATGCTAGGCTGGCTCTACTGTATATTCAAAACCGACACTGTTTAGCGTGTGGCAGCATGTGACGTATATTTATCCCAATTGTGCATCTAACAGAGCTGTGGGGTTTGCTCATCTCACAAGGCTTAAACTACCAATGCTTAACAATTTGTAACAGAACTAGTCTAGATAGAAGCAGCAGAGCCTTGCTGGGGTACAGTAGGTGGCTAACGGAGTCTACAGGGCTCTTGAGACCCCTTATGTCCTTGAGCAACCTGTGACTAAAACATGTCACAGGCCCTTATCAATAATTACCAATGATACCTTCGGAAACTCATTGGAATTTTCTGTTTGAAATTTGTCATTAGAATGACATTAATACTGTCTGAATTATACAACCTCATATTTATCATAAACTGTATATCTATACGAGTAAAATTATGAAAAATCAAAAACACTTAATTATAGTCAGAGTTATCATATGTATGTCAGAATTGCTAGTCTATGAGTGGGGTCTTCTTTGTATTGTGCGTGACTATGGATGTATGTCTCTTTTTGTCTTTGTATGTTTTAGCCACAAAAAAAAAATCATGTTAGAATAACACCAAACACAAAATTAGGCAGATTTTTGGGAGTTTAACACACAGGGAATCTACTTTTTCAGCACTGCCATGTCTATTCCAATTCAATTCAATTTTTAATATTTTTTCTGAAAGTATGATTTTTATATGCATTTACATCAAAACCTGGCATACCGGGGGGAAGGGGGTATGGTGAGTTTTATGGAAGAACTACGGTAAATTACATAAAATATGGTGACTAACCTGTTTGGAATGGCAGATCATTCGCAGACCTCCATCTTGTCGGCAATGTACTCTACTAGGTCTTTCGGGGTGACTAGCTTCTCTGCATGATTGTCTGGGATTTCAAATGCTGTAAAAACAAGTACAAAAAATACCATGAAGGATAATATCATTTACAGTACATTTAGCAGCCGTTATGTATTGAACGCCAGTGTTCTCTCAAATTCACCAAAACCTCTAATGTGTCTGGCTCTCTGCTGACCAACTTGTTCTCATCTATAGTCACCTCAACAAGGAATCAGGTCATTTTTTTTTTTTGGCAGCCCTAGTTTGCAACAACTTACACCTCTGAACTTCAGAAAAACAGACTCTTTGAGATCTTGAATATTTGAAAACATTTATTTACATCTTACTACTCACAATCCTAGTCATGCTCTTAATTTTTTGGTAGGCAATTCCATTTATTCAGCTTATTGCCAAAGTTACACCATAGA